CGGATTTTTTTATGCCGCTTGAAAGAAAAATAGAAGGAGGGTCTACTATGAAATAAGATGGGGATTTAGGGTTCTGTACGAAATTTTCCCCATTATCTAAGGGAGAGAGATGAGAGAGATTAGATCAGATCTAGAGAGGATGTCGTGCCACTCATAGGGGAGAGAGAGAGATTGGAGTGCAGAGAAAGTGTAGAGATTGGGCCACTATTTGTAAAAATCTAGGGTTAGGGTTTCTTAGGGTTAGCCCTCCCTTTGGAGATTAGATCCAGACCATCAATTATAGAAGACCTGTGACTTGAGAGATCTGAGCCATACAATCCTGAGATCAACCATCACGTTTCAAAGGAAGGTGCTAGAACCTTATCCTTCATCTTTCTTAACTTAATCCCATCAAATTATAAAAATATGAAAAATATATCATACTTTCCTATCTCTTGCATAAATATCAGGCTTTTAATTCAAATCATCTCTCTTTAATTTAAAAAACTTTCCAAATTATTTCATCTTGATTGAGTGCCTTATGGGCCTCATCATGAAATAGGGAAGTGGCTTCCATAAGTGGGACGTGCCACTCTATGGTGCCCATAAGTGGGCCCCACGTAATCTCCATGTATATATTATGGTGGGCTCCCAACAATTATATGAATTATAAAATTATAAAATGACTTTTAGAAAATAATAACTATTTTATTTTCTCTCTAAATATGTAAAATACTTAAAATTCAATATTTTTCAATTTATAAATCTATTTTGTGAAAAATAAAATATCCAGAGTCTTTTAAAAATTCAAACTATCAATCTAAAACTTATATAACATCAAAATAATTAATCCTAAATAATTTTGATGGGATTCGGAACCAACTAGATCAAGGAATTATAAATTTGCTAAAGCACTCTATCTTCTACTGAAGGTTATAGTCCACACTCACTTTTTTAAACTGACCCAGCAGCTCCCATGACCCACAAACCATCGCAGAAGTTCATGATTGAGCCACCAAAGCCAGCCATTAGGTGAGGGGATACAATCTCAGTCTATGGACTAGAGATTCTCTCTTAAAAACGAGTCCAAGGTCTCAAAGACCTGGTGCAACAATAATTCTATGGTGCATAGGGGTCATCTCTCGCACATGTACACGTATCACCTTCAATGATGTCTCTCTTTCCCAATACGGCTATCATATGTGCATGTCGTATGATGGTTCAATGATGAGACTTTGGCCCTGGTCTCTACAAGCCTACCATCACACACAAGGGTCATACAGTCCCTTGGCTCACTAACTCAGGCAACTTCGACCTATCAAGGGATAACCCTACTTACCCTCCTCTGTTGTGCTCTATGCCCAGGTAATTAAGGGTTTTCCAACTTGACTGGTCTAACACGTTAAGCTTAGTTTGAGTTTATCCCTACTTACCCTCCTCTGTTGGACCATAATCTCTTGGTCCCTCTGGACCACTCTCCCACTGGAGTATATTGTTCCACTATAGTAAATTTGGTTACATGCTCTCATACAGCCTTTAGTGGCCACAAATACCCAATATATTCCACTATCAAATATCCTATTTACAAGTTCTATAGGCCTTTAAATGCCACAAAACCCAACACAAACATTTTCCTTGGGCATATCTTCGACCTCAACAAGGGATTACCCTTCAGAAAACCCTCAACGGTAGTGGGTATACCTAGGGGCAAGGGTTTTGGATATTCCTGGGCCATAGACTGCCCAATTCTAGGTCAATTAACCAACATTCGCTCCCACTGAATTGCACATATTGTCTATATATATTATTTTTACATGCTCTCAAGGGCTTTGAAGGCCACAAAATGCCGGCAACCAATTTGCCTATAATTTGGATACATCTTAAGTTGATCTGTCCTTGTATCTAGCGTTAACGCAAAGGTCTTGTCTCCTCATTTCACAGGGTTTCTTCGAATTTTGGTGTCAGTGCAATTTCCTTTATTGCCTGTATGACATTTTTGAGGAATTCAAAGATCTGACAACCAGAAGAAAAAAGAAAAAAGAGGAGCTCGAAGATTTCCTGGTTTTTCTCTCTCTGTATTTTGGAAGTTTTTTGTGTTCTTTGAGTAGGGACTTATGGTTAACATGCTAGTATGATTGTATCCGAGAAGTCAATTCTACTTAAGGAGGATTTTCTTGGAAAGTATGGTCTGGTCATTTGTTATTTTGTATCGGTTTAGTACATTACCATTTATGAAAAGAGCATCGTGGCTTGTTTGCATCAGTCATTACCTATAGACCAATACTGTTAAGTTAGTGCTGTTTTCTGGTTTCTTTATTGAGCCAACTTTTTTGAGATCTTTTATGCAGACTTCTGTTAATATGGTATTTGACGATATCTAGGAGTGATTGTAGTTGGCTTTGAAATGCTTCTTGGATGAGATTTTTATGCATGCGCTTAAATTTTGCAGGATGGGCTACTAGTCTTAGTGTAGGTGAAACTGATTGGAGTAATGAATTTTCTTTCTTTGCGGTTGGGATTGATCTTACAGATGCTGGTCAAGGTGGGATCCTTTTCTTTTCGTGAAGCAATATTTATGTTGCTTGCCTTTCATTGTCATTTTTCTTATAGTTCTTGCTTGACTCTTATTGTTATTAATTATTATTATTGTAATATGATTTTCTTTATTTTCAGTGGAGTGCATAATAATTTTTGGCATGTATCTCACATTTTAGGCTAGTCTCAAAAAAGTCGAGGTCCCTAATCATTGTAAACATTTGGCCTTTACCATATTTGTCTGTTTTCTATTAATCATGCAAGTCTTTTACATGGATTGCAGAACACATGGAGGATATAGTTGGACTGTTGTTCAAATACATACTGCTTTTGAAAGAGAGTGGGGTCAACAAATGGATCTTTGAAGAGGTATGGACATTATGGATGAATTGCCCTCTCTTGCTCTTTCAAGGGACTTCTAGACCTTTCCCTGGAACACCTCATTATGAGTTTCAGCTAAATGGGCTTTGGGTTTTGTTTAAAATTTGAATTAAGTTGAATTTGGCGTGCTTGAGCCATTGCATGAAGTGAACCATACCCTTGGCGGATATTTCATTGCCTAAACAATTAGCTTCTATTTTCTAACTCGTAAATATTTGAATGTGGGAAGTGAAACTATGCAATTAAAATCCATTTGAGGAAAGTACAGTATGTTATACAGAGCTATGGTACTAAGAATATAATTACATCTACTGACTTGAAAGATATAAATGCATGACCAAAGCTAATACTCTCACAAAAACATGTATGTGTAAAACAAAGTTAAACTAGTGGAGGCCTTTCTTACATGGGCACTGCAAGGCCAATGGCCACCGATAGCCTCACAATGGATGGCCTCACATTTCAACTTGTTGGTGAGTCATATGTGGCACTACCTGCCTGTGCCCTTCTTCTCCCATTTCATTGATACATTCTCTCCACTTCTACCATTCTCACCTGCTTTCTCCTTCTTAGCCCAAACTTTCTTCACTGTTGTCACTTATCCGCCTTTCTTTCTTCTATGATGCATACATCTCTGTTTTATGGGCTTGACTTGAGCAAGAGGTATGCCTATCTTTTCAGTGGCGTGCTATATAAAAAGCGAAAAATATTGATTATAAGTTCAAGGAGAACATGAGATGTACCAGAGGTATCTGGGGGCCTTGTGTGTTTCTGTCTTATTGTGTATGTGTGCGTGCATGTGAGTGTGCATGTGCTTGCGTTACATGGAAAATGATGCAGCTGTAAGCATCCAATGCATGCCAGCTCTGTGTACATGTTAACCATAAGATTGCAGTTCCGCATGTTAAATTTTGAAAATGTTTTTTGTTTCAATTTACTGTGCTGCAGAGGTCCTTGGATGATAACCTTCTTGGCCATTTGAAAACTCTAAAAATTTTGGCAACTGCAGTTTTAATAACAAAAATTAAGTAAAGCATCCATGAAACTTATCAATTCATTTTGAATGGGCAGAACTCGTTCGTAAAATGTCCTGCTTGTTATACACTATTTGGAGTGCAATGCTGCTTCTGGATGCCCTCTTATCATTATTATAATAGTTAAATCTGTTAGGTATGCCATTCTTGGCAGAGACCTGATTTCTTCTGTTTTGAAGATTTGTGCCATCGGGGAGACCATGTTTCATTTTCAAGACAAAGTGCCCCCCTTCAACTATGTCGCTAGAGTTGCTTCAAACATGCGGGTAAGGAAACCATTTACAGTTCAAGCATGCTTTATGTATAGCATCATTGGAAGTGTTGTTTCTATTATTGGATGCTTGCAATTCGAGCTTGCAAATTGACAGATTATTTTTTATAAGTTTGAAATCTAATTGAATTTCTGCAACATATAATGGCATGAAATAATTGATATCATTGCGGTTTTAAATGTCCATCAAAGTCAGGATTGGAATTTGTTACTATTTTTGTGCTATGCGGTCCTTAACTATGCTCATAGGCAGGCATATGTATTGGCACATCTTTGTGAGGTAGTTAGAGGAAGTGGATAAAAAGTTTAAAGGAAAGGCTTAAAAGTAATACAAAATAGATACCCACAGTGTTGAAAAATTCAGGCACCTTGCCGCTTAAGTAGGCTGTGAAAGGTGGGCTCTGTGGAGTTGCACAGTGGATATTCGAAAAAATTTCTCTTTTTCTTTTATTAGATTGGCAATTCTACTTACGAGTGCCAATTACAATGCAAAACAGAAAATAAAACCTACTACAATCTATGGATCACACTCTTACTACCCTTAAAATAAAACTCTATTCGATTACAAATAGCAAACAAATATGAGGACATTGTTGGAAGTAGTAAAAAAAAATATGGGGACCTATGGCCTCACTAAAGGTATGACCCTTGATAGAACATAATGGCGGACGATGATTCGTGTAGCTGAACCCAAATAGTTGGGAAAGGACTCTGGTGATAATGATGATGAAGAATCAAATATGAATCAAGACTAGAAAGCAATAATAAACTGGGAAGCAAGTTGCAATATTGTGCCTAGGATCACCCCCATAGGACTTACTACACCCCACCCCCAATTACCAAACTGATGGCACACCGATCCAATGGTCCTTGCTGAATCTTATACAAGATAGGAAGCAACTATGGCAAACCCTAACTCAAACTAGGCTGAGAGCATTAGCAAGATGCTCTCTAGAAAATTAATTAGGCTTTCAACCCCTTAATATCAAAATAGGGTTTTCTTTCAATCATCCTAAAATGGGGCGTGCCACCCCTGGGTCAGACCCTGGGCCTAGCATGATGCCTATGACAGTGGGCTAGGTAGGACATGCCTCTTAGAGGAGGCTCTTAGTGTGCATGTCACCCTAGGAAAAGAGAGAGAGAAGAGAGAATAATGGGGCGTGGAAGAGAGAGGCCAGAAAGTGGTGACGGTAATGAGGGGGCTGACCCCTATTTATACTAGTTTCTGGGGTTTAGGGTAGGCCATCTTCAAATAGGATTTAACTTTGATTAAGGAGTCCAAGGTAATCTGTGGGGTGAAGATAGGTTTAATTTGAGCAATTCAATCCCTAGATCTGCTATCATGATGAAGGGATGAATCTTAAAACCATTATCTTTTGGATCCTTGAATCCTCTTCTAGTTCCAATAGGATCTAGGTTTATCCATAAAGTCCAAGTTCCATTAGCATTAGGACATCTGAATCTTTTAGGAATAATTTCCTTTTAGAAGTCCTTATCCTTGGAGGAAACCAATTATCTATTAATACTTAAAACTAGGTTAATTCCAAAACAAGTGGGACACATAGCCCATGAAGTCCTCTTTCTCTCAACCAACCTTATCCTGATAAGGAGAGTGAAGAGGGGATAGGGCAAGTGCGGTGTGGGTCCCAGGTGGGCCCTAGCTCCCAAACAAGGGGGAGTCTTAGACATGTGGGGCTGTGGCCTTTGGCCTCCCATGTGGGTCCAAAACAAAACCCTTATGCCTTAAACAAGTTTCTAACCCTTAAAAGATAAACATTTTGAAAGAAAATGTATACAATGAGACCATTGAACTCAAACTGGGGCTGGGCCGCTGATTTTTTCACCTTGTATAGTACTATTAACTGCACTATTAATACATTGACAATATACATGGCTCTTTAAATTAGGAAATATATACAATGAGACCATTTACTTTTGATACAAGGAGGTCACAATCATTATTGAGAATATGTCATTGTTTAGGCACAATGTCCAAAACAAATTTTCTCAAGTGTTGTGCACATTTTTATCCATTGGATTTCACATACAATGGCCAAAAGTGATTGTAATCTCCTTGGACTAAAAATAAATTGTCTCATAATATACAATAGCTAAAAGTAATAGCATGAATATTTATTGAAGTATTATTAAATATGTTGTACTATATTTGTACTGTAGTAAAAATATATTAATATATTTCTGTTTATTAATGTACATGTGAATGTTACTTCTTTTAAAGAAAAAAATATATTCAGTAAAATAGTAAAAATATATTTAATATATTATTTTCGATTGGTACTAAAGTACAAATGCATTAACATGACACTAAATGGCACTATTGAGTATTAACTATAATTCAAAACTACAAATATATTTAATAGCTTGCTGTATTAATAATATACGTGTGAATGTAATACTAATGGTACGAATATCCATAAGCATATTATTAACTATTGGTACAAAAGTACAATATATTAATGTAAGGGATATTGATAAAAGGCCATCATTGGTAACCTTCAGATAACTTGGCAGCAGTAGAGGGCTGAGTCCTTTACTTCGATAGTGTGGTCTTTTCCTGAGACTCATAATTACAAACTCAATATTGATGGTGTTTCCTTGAGAAATCCAGGTTTAGTAAGTGGTGGTGGAGTTATCAGGAACAATGCGGGCGGTTTTATTGCTGCTTTCGCAAAGCATTTTTGTTTTGCTTCTAATGACTATGTAGAATTCTTGGCATTGAGGAAGGAGTTCAATTGGTTATTCAAAGTAATTGCTTTCCAATTCAGATTGAAAGTGACTCGGTCTTGCTTGTGAATGTCATTCAGAATCGATGCAATGCTCCATGGAGGCTAAAGACGATTGTAGACAATTGTTGCACTAGACTGTCTTCTCATCGATGGTCCATTGCACATATCTTTCATGAGGCTAACATGGTTGTTGATGCCCTGGCTAAGAGGGCAGCCGCTGGCCCCAGTGCTATTGTGTGGCACTATAGACAACCGGATTTTCTTTCCTCTCTTTTATTACATGATCCGGCGCAATTGCTCTACCATACGGTTGTATCTTAATTGTTTTTCTCTGCTCTTTTATTAATAAAGAACGGGTAGGGGCCTTCTCCCCCACTGACTTACTCAAAAAAAGGGATATTGATAAAATTGCCCGTGAGAGATGAACAATTTAACAACCTTATCCATATTTTTTTGTTTAACTTGAAAATAATCATAGAAAAACACATGGTCTGAGTAGGAGTAGCTGCAAATGGGCAAAATATTACATACTTCATCTCTAAGCAGCGTCTTGATAAATTTCCATTAATGTAATAATATATACATACTATTTCTTTAATATATATCTGGGGGTGGGGGGGGGTTGCTTTTAGGCCGCCTCCTTCATGAGGCGCTCATCTAGGCGGGCAAGGTGTAGCCTAGGAGGGCACCTCTGCTTTTCTGAACTTTGAATACCCAAAACCTAAAACTTTTTGTATGCATGGTGAATTAGTTGTAACCAATAACATGTGGCGAATCCATACTGTCTTTTGTCTCCGATGTTCTATTTGTGAGACCTCCCCTATATAATTGCTTATCCAATGCATATAGCAGCTGCATGTGGTGATTATCCACACTTCTCCATTGTTCCACTTTATTTCTATAGGGATTTACATGGTCTAGAGGCTAAACCTTAATGGTAAGATAGTTCAAAGCCTCTTCGATTAGGTTCCAACAGGGACTTGAACCCAAGCCTGGAGGTGTCCATGTTTGTTAGTGGGACCTGATCCGCCGAGATTGGAATTTAGATCTAGACCTGGGTTTGATGGAACTGGAGACCTGGTTGGACCCAATCAGGTAAACGTTTTTTCTTTGTAAAATTGGTCATGTCTAGTCTGATCAATTGAAACCCTAGCCTGGTAACGCTCAAGTTTGGACCCAAACTCTGAAGGGTCTTGCTTTACCCGACTTGGGTCTAGGAGATGGTTCTTAGCCCGAACCTGGGTTTGGTTAACTAGATGCCTTGCTAGGTTAATCCAACCCGATTGATAGCCCTAGTTCAAATGCACTAGTAGCTTCATTGATTGGTCCCCATCACTGTTTAACATGGCATGATGATCCATGTTTGTCTGACAAAATTGTACGAATTGATATAAATTTCATCTAATGAGCTTATTTATTTTGTGTTTTGAAAAGTGACATATTAGTAATAGGTACAAAAATTACTCACGCGGAGTAAGTTGATATGGCAGTCAACAAACTGGATGCTCCTGTATATAAAAAGAATATAAGGAAAGGTAAAAAAGAAATGAAATAATGTGAGAAGAGAGAGAGATCAGAAAAAAAGGAGGGGGAGGGCAATGGAGAT